TTTTTGCTATAAAGCTTTCAGTTGTTCTGTCAATTCTCTAGTGTGACTTTTCTCCAGTTTCTTCATGTGGGAACTTGGTGCTATGAACTTTCCTCTTAGCACTGCTTTCAGACTGTCCCACAGGACAAAACATACAAAGCAGTTACCTGTGTCCTAAGTGATCATATGACTAAATAAAGTCTCTATACAATTATGACACTATTTGCTTCCATTTGATTAGAATCCCTAGACAAGAAAAATAATCCCCTTTGTGAATACTAGAAATGAACTCTACAATCCAAAAGTAAGATGGAAAGATTATTATAAAATTGAATATATTTACTTAGGTTTCTCTGAAAAATACACTGTGGTATTAGAATCTTTCCTAAGCCCTGTGGTTTGGAACTGTCTCCCAAAGGCCTACATATTAAAGACTTGGCCCCTAGTCTGCAGCACTACAGGAGGTAGGCAGACCCTTTAAGAGATGGAGCCTAGTGGAAGAAAGTGAGGTAATTCTAAGTATGCCCTTTGTGGGGGGGGGTAACCTGGGACCCTGTCCACTCTTGTCTCTCTCTTTATTTCCTGGCTTCCATGACTTAAACAAGTCTCCTCTGTCACATTCTCCCTGTCATTCTTTACTGTGCTACCTAGGCCCACAACAATGTGTCTAAGTGACCATGATCTGAAAGCAGGAGCCAAAGCACTTTCTTCCTCTTATGTCGTCTCTTTTGGATATTTTAGCACAGTTATGGAAAGCTGACTAGAACACTAAGAGTAGATCTCAATGAAGCAGAGAAAGGAAGCAAAATTATTCATAATCTGTGCACCATAATTTAAAGCAAGAGTCAGCAAACTTTTTCTTAAAAGTGCCAGATAATAAACATCTTAGCCTTGTACTTCATAAGCAGCCAAAAATAATATATAAACAGATGAGTGTGGCTATATGACAATAAAACCTTATAGATGAACATTAAAATTTGAGTTTAATGTAATTTTCACAGGCCATAAAATATTGTTCATTTTAGTTCTTTCCAACTATTTAAGCATACAGAAGCTATTCTTATCTTACATCCTGAGTAAACCCCTGCAAATGGCCATCTGGTTTACAGCTATAATTATCTACCTCTTGCTTTATATTTTTTTATTTTACTTTTGGAGACAGAGTCTCATGTATCCCAGGCTGGCTGTGAATTTTCTATATTATTGAGGCTGGCCTTGAACTTCTAATCCTCCCAACGGATGAGATTATAGGTATGCACTGTCATGTCTAATTTAAGTGGTACTGAGAATTACAACCAGGACTTTATGTATGCTCATCAAGCATACTATAAACAGAGCTGCATGCCTAGTCCCCAATTCATGCCTTAGATAACTGATTTCTCAAAGTTCAGTGCTCAGTCCACCAACTGTGTAGCACTTCTAAGAAACACAAATAAGGAGGAATCAGTGCGGTGCCAACCACATGTTCTGCTTTAAGAAGCACTGGCATACAGTCTACAGAGACCCAGAGGCCAGACTGTACCTGAACAGAGAGGTGACCTGAGAAAATCTGAACTCTGTGCCTCAATTTCCCCACACACATTATCTCCCTCAGGCATGTTATGAGAATCCACACTCATTCAAGCATCCATACATCACTGAAAACAAGAATTGTTGCTATCATTACAAAACTTTACATGGTTTTCATAGTCATCCTCTGAAACAAGCAATATATTTACCAAAAGAGTGGAGAAAATGGAGAAACTCACCCAAGAGCACATGTGAGTCTTGAAAGAAAGGAAAGGTTCAAGTGGACAAAAGAGTACAAAGTCCCCCAGGCCCCAGGTTATCACCACCTCATATCTTCTAAAGACCTACATTCTCCCTCAACCCCTTTAACTCATAAACCCTTAAATATCCCCTAAGAATACCTGTCACACAGGAATCTCCAAGAATCTGTACCCCAATTTGCCCTTTAATTCCATGAAATTTATCTTCCATTAAGATGCATATTGTTTTTTACAGCTTCTATTTCTAGTTATAGATTGTAAATTTTCCTTCTGCTGAGTCTTGGATCTGACTGACTGTTTTTCATTATATTTGTAAGGCACAGGGAAAAAAGAGGGGAGGCCATTCCTTTATTTGAGAATTCTGACATTTATTAGCATAATAAAACTCTCAAGATGAAATTGCAGTTTTCCAGACAGTAATTTCATTTGCAGGACAACTTACAAGGAATTTATTTGAAAGCCAGGTAAAACCTAAAATATATGAGACGTGTAGAAAGTGCAGGCCCCAAATAAAATGAAATAAATGTGTTAGGGATGGAAAATTCAGCTCTTATCTCTCACATATTAATTAGCAGTCGACAGGAAGCACAGCCAAGACATCAGGTTTTCAACCCATCCTGGACTCCTTTCAAAGCTGCTCTTGGAGCTTTCTTCCAGTGAGTGGGAAATCATCTTGTGGAATCCCCTGACACAGCACTGTGTGGTTGTGGACAGCAAGGTTTTTCATTTGGAAAGAGATACCCTATTTGTCACTTAATTGATCATCCAGAAGAAACTAATGACGACCACACAAAAAAATCCTTGTCTCAGTTATACAGAGATTTAATGAGATTTGGTGGCCCGAATAACTTTACATGCTGGTACATAGCAAAATCAGAATAAAAGTGGGTCTTCTGCGTGCAAGTAGAAATAACATAATTTGGAAAGAACTTGGCTATGATTTGAGAGTACCTAGAGTTCAGAAAGCAGAACTTCATTTCATTCATGCACTGTTGCAGGCTTACTAGAGGAAAGCTATGGAACTGATTCATAAAATTGTTGTAACTTAACATATTGGGGCCAGTTGTGCTGTCACACACATGTTATCCCAGCACCCAGGAGGCTAACACAGGAAGACCACGAACTCAGGACCAGACCTGAGCTACATAATAACTTCCAAGCCACTTGAGCTACCTGGTAATATCATAACTCAAGGTACAAAAAGTAAAAATAAGTGTTTGGATAGTAGGTACTTACCTTGGGTTCCCAGAAGGTAAAGACTAAGTATGATAGCAACTTGGCTCGGGTTAGCATCCCAGAAGAATATCCCAGAGAAGTAAGAGGCAAAGATCTAGTGATAACAGGGATGTAGTTGTACCTGGCTACTCCACCATGCAGGATTGTCTTCTAAGAGATCACATCAAGAGCTGGTTTTCAGAACAGTCCCTCCAGGAGGATGAAGGAAGAAGACATGATTGCCAACCTTAGCATTATCTCAAGGCTTGCTGCAGCAACAGGGAGTAAATAAATAGTAACCTTTGTTTGTTTGTTTGTTTGTTTGTTTGTTTTACTAAAAGGAAGAGGTAGTAAAAAAAGGTAGGGAACCCAAGCATAGTGGTAACACTTATAATCCCAGAACATGGGAGGTGGAGACAGGAAGGTCAATAATTCAACATAGTGGGTTTAGGGTCATGATGCATTACATGAGATCCTAGCTCAAAAAAGGGGGGGGTGATGAAGTACAACTGGAGTAAATAGACTGAGATATTCTGAATCCACTGATGATGTAGTCTAGAAAATTCAGGCCAATGTGTCTTAAAAAACCTGTGGTACGATGTACTAAAACGTTTTCTTACCCCAAAATTCAATCTCAATCTCATCAAGCCAAAAAATATGAAATAGCCAATACAAAAATAACAGCAGGAAATAATAAGACAAGTCCAGAACACAGGATATTTTTGCAGAACTGCCCAATTTATACAACAAATCCAAAGCTGAATAAAGGAAGAGGGGTGTTATCTGAGACTTAAAAGAATACCAGATGCTACATGTAAATCTTGTTCAGATTCTAAGAGAAGAAACTATAAAAGATGCATTCCGGTCCTAGCCTTTACTGAAGAAGTATGGTAGTTGACAATCGCTGGGGAAGACATGTCACTCTTCTTGGAAGATGTGGCCTCTAGTAAGAATTCCATGGTGCAATGAAAGGCCATACCCATGTGAGTTATTTTTTTTATAAATACATGATGTTGGGAGCATACTGGGGTAAATGGGGGAGAATGGGGGAGGATAGGGGAAGGGGGACCATAAATATTACCATTTTTTCATTGTATAGATGTATGAAATTCTCAAAATAAAGAAAAACTGTTTAAAAGATAAACAAATAAATGCTCCCTAAGAACCATGTGTGACAAAATGTCATTGGCATATGTACACATGAGGCTTGAAGAACACAACGAATCAACAAAAGCAGAGTCTGTCACAGGAAACTTGCTGCAACAGTAGTCATGGTTGTGAGTGATAGTCAAGTATGAGAGAAACAGAAGAGCCAAGAGACCAAGTAGAGAATAAGAGATATTGACACAACTCTCAAGGCAGGTAAAACAGTTTCTTGGTGTCCATCCATCCTTTTGCTGCAATCCACATCCAGTGCTGCAAGGATTATATCAGCAAGTTGTGGAGTGTGGAATGGAACCCAAGTCTTCCAGATTTCAGAACCTGCAATACTTCTGTCACATCTACTGTCTCCTTATCTGTGGCCAAAAGGGAACAACATAATTATACTCAAATTAGGTACCATCCCTGAGTTACTAATTTATCGGAATCTTGCTCTCATCATTATGAAGAACATGTTCAGATTAAGAAGACAGAAGAATTAAAGTGAAAACAGAGCTAAGCCTTTAAGTGAGAGCATCCTAGACAGTAAATGCCTCATCAAATATCTAAAACTCATCCCTGGACTTATAATCCATCTCAGATCTTATGCATATCACATGACATCATTACCTCAATATTCCAAAATAGGAGCCAAGATATGAGATGATGTAGAAGTGGTTAAACAAGGAAGCATAGAGTCAGTCCCCTGTTCTGAAAGCAGAGTTTTGAAACTTGAAGTAATTTCCATGATGGTATCAACAAGCTCATGAACACTAGTAAAAACACAACATCTGTGTTTTCTATGTATGTTAGTTACAAGCCTGCTTGTGAGGTCTGTGACTATATGACATAGTTTATAAAATAATTTGCTAGAAACTATTGCACATTGGTGTTGGGAGGTTTTTCAGAAAGGCATTCACTCAATGAACACTTATTGGGTGTTGACCCTATGGTTCGGCACTGGAATTGCTTTGGGTTACTAAAATGATCCATTCACTCTAAAGAGTTCAGCTTATCACAGCCATGACAATCAAGCCTCCAGGAGCATTAGTTATTTAGGGTTTCTGTCTTGAGCTTTGGGCTGGGACCAGTCTCACAAATGCAGTCAGATTTTTGCAGGTCACATTCTGGAAACACACTGGTACCATTGTTCATCTGATGGATGGTGGATCTTCTGGAAGGCCATGAGGCTTTGAGTTGGAATAGTCTTAAGCTCAATTCAAAATTGGGATATTCAAAGCAGTCCATAGAGGAGGAAAAACATCATTCAAACAACAAATGATAGTCTGGTGGGCTACCCCTCTGTCCACAAGGTTCCTGCAGCAACTCTCCCCCTGAAACAGTGATTATTTCCTCCTAATGGGAAAAAGAAGAAAAGAAATCCAATTAGGATCAAGAAGAGATATAAATACTCATGGGAAATCAGGTAGAGAACTGGTGACAGAAAGACTAAGCCATGCATCTACCTCTCCTCAATCAACTTTCCAGAAATAAAAGGGGAAATCTTTTAAGAAGAAATGCATCACTGCTTTATGAGAAAATAAGAAGGAAGACTACTGACAAGTAAACCTGTGAAATAATTGTTGAAAAACAAATGATTGTCTGAGAAGTGCATGCTGAAAACAGATTGGAGACACAACTCCAATGAATATTTGCCCCCGTTCTTGGTGAGGAGACCCAAAGAACAGACATCCCCATAGCCTTCAAAGAGCCACTCTTTGGTGGCCCCAAGTCTACAGCAGATTTCTAAAAAACATATCAAGCTTATAAGGAAACAGAAAGAATCTTTAAGAGATCTACATTATCTTTCTCAACGGGTTAAGTCATCCATGAAACAAGAGTGGGCTGTTATAAGAAAAAATGAGCATGCAATTGAAAAACATGGGTGTTTAAATTAAAAATATTTTCAGCAGAATAGATGTAACTAAAGAACAATTTGGTGGATACAGGAATTGTAATATCAAGAAAAAGATACCTAAAAATGGGAAATGGACTGTGAATAAGAAAAGATAATTTACAAGTGACTAACTGGAAGTAGTCATTAAGTATATGAAAAGACACCTCAGCATCAGTGGCCGTGAGAGAAATGTAAGCTAGGTAATAGTGAGCTATACTGTCTGCCAAGGTGATGGAAGAAACAGCCTCATATAGTTCTAGCAGGAACATGAATTGGTGTCATGTTTTTTGGATGACAATCTGGCAGGTCTTCTGTAATTAAAATGTGCATACTTTTCTTTCCAACAATTTCATTTCAAGGAATTGATCCTGGCAAATGCTGCACATGTATCCATAGTGACAAAGTGACAGATACATAGTACAGAAGTCTCTGAAAACTGCTCATGATCATGAAACTGGAAGGTGAAGATATGGGCACAAGAGGAGAATGAGTAATTAAGCTGTACGCTACACCCATACCAGGGAGTCCATGGAGCATTTACAAGTTCTCCTACATATAGTAATATGTGGGAAGATCTGCTAGACATAGTTTTGAGACAGGTTCTTATGAGTCATAGGCTAGCCTTAAGCTTACTATGTAGCTGAAGATGGCCTTGAACATTTTATCCTCCTCTCTCTGCCTCTTGAGTGCTGAGATCACAAACTCAACTGGGTGGATACACTATCCACCCAGTTTATGTGATGCTGGAGCAAGCGCTTTAATAACTGACCTTCATTTTAATAACAGAAAGCACCTCCTAATGATGTTAGAGTATTTTTCATCGCTCTACACAGTGATACCTCATTGAAGAGGAAACTGAGCCACAAAAGCCTGAGTAGAAGGCCAAAGCAATGCATAATAATGAAGTTGAGATTTAATCTTGACATTCTGGTTCCAGGACCTTCTAAAGTTTAATAAATATGGGGTTGGAGCTTAAATTTTGGGGTTATATGCTGTAAAACTCACAAAAATACAAGACAGTTGTGGTGGTACATGCTTCTAATTCCAGAACTCATGAGGCAGAAGCAGATGGATCTCTGTGAGTTTGAGCCAACCTGGTCTAAAAGTAAGTTCCAGGGCATCCAGGGCTGTTACACAGAGAAACCCTGTCTTAAAAAAAAATCACATAACTATGTATTTTCTTATGTGCATGAGTTTTGCTATTATGGCCCAGCAAATAACATATGGCACACTAGTAATTCAAGACAGAAGATGGAATTGGAAGCTGAAAATAGATGAGGCTGACATACTAATGTAATCACAAACTGATAGTGTAATTAAAAATTAATTTATCAAAACTGACCACCAGACCTCCATGTGGGCATAGATGACATCTCTGTGTAGGACTAGAATAAAATTGTTGATCTCCAGAATTTAAATTTGGAATAAATAACGCCCTTCGGAGACATCTGGTCTGGCCTTCCTGTGCAGAAGCTGCCCTGAGAACTGGGCACTGACACTTTGATTGAAGCACTGGTGGAGACAAGGAGCCATAGCTAGTGAAGTAGCTTGTTTTGAGTAGAAAAAGTAAACACTGGGTCTCAGTGGAAAGCTCAAACTGGAGAGGAAGGCAGCCAGAGGCTTAACTCTTGATTGCAGCTGGTACCAGTCATGAGAACTTAGCCAAGTACCTTGGCCTCCCTGGTCTTGGTTTCCTGGGCTGTGAAAAGGGCTAAGGTGCCTCTTAGCCCTTATAACATAGGGGACACAGTGATTATGAGGGTATGTATGCTTAACCCAGAACAATACTACCAGAATCCACACACTCCCTTCCTCCTAGCTCTGGAAGTTATAAGGTCATTCTCAACACAATGAGAAATCCACCCTGACCAAGTCTAGTTCCACAGTAGTACTCAGAGTCCAGGTATCTGTGAATAAACTGTTCTCCTCCCCACCCGCCTCTCTCTCCCTCCTTCTCTGCTTTTGGTGTAGTGTTGCTGCTGCTGCTGCTGCTTTGGTTGGTTGAGGGTTTTGTTGTTGTTGTTGTTTGCTGCCCTTGAACTGGTGATTCTCCTGCCTCAGCATCAACAGTGCTGAGATTACAGGTATTTCCCAACATGCCTAGCTAGACAGGTGATTTTCTATGTCTTTTATTCATAAGGCCAGGTAGGGAGGATCTCTCAAGGTCTGGCTCTTTTGTGGATGGATAAAATTTTTAAAAAGCAATATACAATTCAAGAGATGCTATTACAGAAAAACCTCAGTGCAAGCAATTCTGTGACACCTTCTACACCTGTGAAACTCAAGTAGCTGTTAGACATGGAGTTCTCATAAGTTTATCCCAGAATCCCCCAGACCTTCCCTTCTTGTTGATGAGGTACAACTGTTCTTGCAGTTATGACTGCTGCCAAGAACTGCATTTAGTCCAAAAGCTGCTTCTCACTATGATATATATGAGACGTTTGTAAGACGGCATCTTTCCCGATGTGGGTCAGGGATGAGACAAATGACAGAGTACTGGACACAGGGTCTCCATACTTAATGGACAATAGATGGTGCAGTTATGTATATAATCTTGTTTAAAGTCTACAAGATCTCAAATAAGCACTATGTGTATACTTATATGCTTGATGTTAGTCTTTGAATGTGCTCCACAAAAGCATGTGTTGCAGACATAAATACAATGTCTATGATAGGACCCAGAATCATATCAAAGGGCTCTGCCTCCATAGGTAGATCAAAATAATTATCTCAGGAATGGGTTCCTTGTTATAAAGTTTCCCCTTATGCATATGTGTGTGTGTGTGTGTGTGTGTGTGTGAGAGAGAGAGAGAGAGAGAGAGAGAGAGAGAGAGAGAGAGAGAGAGATGCATGTGTCTGCATGTGTGCATAGTGATCTTGCCTGTGCACATAGGAAAGTGTGGAGGTGAGAGGTCACTCTCCAACTTAATTTTTGAGACAGAGCCTCTTCTCTGAGCATGGAACTTGCCATTTTGGCTACATTGGATGGTTTATGAGCCCTCAGGATCTGCCTGTTTCTACCATCTCACTCTTAACCTAGAACTGGGATACAGATGTATGCAGCCAATGACTGTGTTCCACATGGGTGTTGGGGACCTGAGCTCAGGTGTGATGCTCACAAAGCAAGCACTCTACCCACTGAGCCATATCCATAGGCCCATAGTTGAACCCCTCTTTCACTTGCCCACTTTCTTGTTCTCACTTCCCCTCTCCCTCCTTCAGTCTTCCACATTCTGCCAGGAGATGATATAGCAAGAAAACCTCCTTAAATGTCACCCTCCTTGAGAGAAAGTCCCTCCATCTTGGACTTCTCAGATTCCAAAACTGAAAATATGGGTTTCTTTCCTTTATAAATTTTTCAATATGTTTTGCTCTGTTGTATTGGCAACAAAAACAGAGAACATGGAAGCTCGGTAAGACTAAGTGACCTGGACAAGGTCACACATGTCCCAAGTGGAAAAGCATGTTCCGACAAGAAAACTGGTGACTCTATTGTGGAGATATGTTGCTATAGACACACAGATGCTTGTTGCACTCCAGTGAGCTTCAAAGCTGCCAGAGTTCTGGGTAGCAGTTGTTCCAAAGGTGAGACTAAGATGGGGCTTGGACTGAGAGCCAGCTATCAATCCCTGTGCTGACAACAGCCACTCAAAGGAGAGGGGCCTGGAAGTGGGGTTACAGATGCACAGGAGGTCAAAGCATGAGGCATGAGGCATGAGGCAGATGGGAGACCATGGACCCCATAGCCTGCCCTGGACAACCTCTAGTCTCTTCTACCTGAATGTGCTGTAGTTCTGAGGCCCTGAACATTAAGCTTATAGCCTGCACTTGCTCCATGCTCTCTTCAGCACAATTTTCTGCCAATTCCATACCCTACTAACATTTCAAAGAAGAATACCTTGTGGAAATCAATGAGATCTGTGAGGGTGGCATGGCGATTGGGGTCCACTCCCAGAAAACTGTAGAAGTCCCCAGAGGCATCCACAAGGAAGTGCTTGAAGCCTCTCTGCAGGCGGTAGGACAGGGTATAACCCCAGATCTTCTCACTGACCCGGACCAGAAATGCTCCCTCAGTCATATTCTCCAAAAGGTCTTCTGCATTCTCTCTGCTAATAATTCCTAATGGGAAAAAAAGGAAAGGAAAAAAATTAAGAGGCCTTTATAAGTTCTATACCTCTTTCTTCTCCACTGCCAAGTCATCACCAACCCCTTTCTCTCTGGCTCAGTTTTCATGCCAACCATGCTGTCTGGGTATGGGAAGGAAGGAGAAGGGTCTCAGGGGGGGAGTTGCTGGTCTATACCTGCTGCTGCAGAAGTATACTGACCCAGAGCCTGGGGACAGCATCCCTACATGGACCAGAGTGGTGCATGCTTTCTTCCAAATTAAACCACACTAATTTGGATTAATTGGGTAAGCAAGAAATTACTAATGAACTAGAATTATAGTATCTATTGATTACAAATACTAGAGAGCCTTAAAGCCCAGAGTTAATGACTAGCCAGAATGATGGAGGACCATGCCACAATGACCTGGTACAGTAGATGAAACATGAACAGTGTTTTCTCTTAAGGCAGAAGGGTCCAACACTGTGACATTGAAGCACAACTTTGTCATTAAAAGAGTTCACCTTAAAATAATGCACAATCATAATGCTTCTAGTATGTTTATAATTTTCTTTACATCTGTCCTGGGGCACATGCTGCCCCTGGGCATGAAGGAAGCCTCCTCTGATTGCCTATACACACTGAGCACAAGATTCCTTAGTGGGACAAATAATGATTCTCCATTTTCCACAAGACCTTTCTAAGGTGCTTCAACCTATGCCATATGGTACCATCACAGCATGGAGGTCAGGTCTGGCCTTGGGATTACTTATGTACCAGCAGCAGCCCCTAGCAATGCTTTCCTAAAGACGCCTTCATCCAAGTGACTGGGAGAAGCCAAGTATTGGCTGGGTCAAACTCTGGAGATCATGGAGGTAGGAAGAGGAGAGGGAGCCAGAAGAGGTAGATTCATTCTTCAGCACCTCCCCACACCAAAGCATCTTCTGACAAACCCTTAACTTCTCTAATGCTCTTTGATATTTATATGACTATAACCCAGCTCTTTTCCACAGGTACATTATGGCTTTCAAATGCAATAAAAAGGTTCCCGATGTTTTTGTTTGGTTAGTGGTTTTTGATCCTGGCAATAGTTGTAGCTTTGGCGGGTCCTATCTTCTGCTGTTTTAGAAGAACAATGAATTGTAACACATGCCCCTCTACACAACTTCTTGCCTACTTGCAAGGGTCACTCCCTTTGTGTTCCTTGTTTGCCAAAGAACCCTTTAAAGACAGTCAACATGCTTGAGGGTTACTGCTTACATCTTCTCCCAGGACTCAGAACAAATGGCAACCAAGCTGGCTAGTTCTCCCCAACCATGCAAGGTAAGTGGATAGCCCAGGAGATAGAGGAATGCCTCCTAACCACAGGCATCTAAAGAAAGTACATTGTGCCATGCCAGTGAAGCACCATAGCGTGATCTCAGATAAGAAGCACAGAAGAATTGGTTTCTGACCATTAAATTTAATTGTCAACATGACACAATGTAAAATCACCTGAGAGATGATCTAGATCAGACTGGCTTGTGTGCATGTCTATGCAAGACTGTTTTGAATGCCTTAAATGATATGGAAATATGTAGTTGGCATTATCTTTGGGCCACTGACCACTCCCAAATAAAGACATGGAGACTTATTATTGATTATAGATGCTCCATCTTAGCTTAGGCTTGTCCCACTAGCTCTTTGAATTTAATTTAACCTGTTTCTATTCAACCACATTTTGTCTTGGGAATTTTTATCTTTCTTTCTGTATGTTCAATTTTCCTGCTTACTCTGTGTCTGGCTAGCTGGTTCCTGGCATCTCTTTTTCTTTCTTCCTTTTCCTTCTTTTCTTATTCTTCCCACCCAGAAGTCCCACTTATACCTCTTCCATCAATGTTGTCTGTTTAGCTTTTTATTAGACCCATCAGGTGCCTTAGGCAAGCAAGGTAAAAGAGCAACACATCTTTACAAAATTAAACAAATGCAACACATCTTTAAATAGTTAAACATTTGCAACACATCATTGCATAATTAAACAAATATTCTGCAACATGAAGACCCAGCAGGAAAGCAGGCAGCACCATTCCCTGGCTTGAGGTCCTGAAAATATAGAAACCTAACTGAGCATTAAATATTCATACTTTCACTTATTTTCTGCTCTTGACTTTAGATGTATGACCAGCAGCTTCAAATTCCTGGTCCTGGTTTACCCATTGTGATAGACTGCAAACTAGCATTGTAAACGAAATAACCCTTTATCCCCTAAATTGCTTCTTGTTTACACATTCTCTTATAGCAACAAAAATGATACTAAAAGAAGATTGTGCACCCTTTATGGGCTTCCTACCCTAGGATCTGATTCACTACTACATTTATAAGTCATAACTTTGGTATCTACCTCTCTCATCATGAATCTCCTATAGAAATGTTTCCATTTTGAGGCATAAAAGCCAAAGGTTGTAATAAGGAACCGTGAGAAACTAATGTCAGAGCCAGCATTGGACACTAGCTGACACTATGACCCCCATCTCATCTAATCTTCATAGCACCTTGTTATCAAGGGATTGTAACAGAGAATACAGAGAGGTTCAGGACTTCCCATGAACACAGAGATGTTAAGGGTAGAGTCCAGACTTAGACTTAGGTCCTCAGACCTCCAAGTGCAGGGTTCTTTGCACTACACGATTTTATCTCATAAAGGACAGAAAATGCTGGAAAGATACAATAAAAGGGAGATTAAGGAAGGCTGTGTGGAGGCAATGGAGAGAGACAAGAAGTGGGGCTTTATAGCTTGGTAGATTGTGCATAAATAGCAAAGGGAATAACAGTAAGGTGTTAATAAGAGAAAATGGGATGACAGAGTAAAGAGGTCTACCATGGGTCACTTACATAAATGTAATTTGAAGGACGTAGACAGTATCGAAAGAGATTTAGAGACATAGAAGACAGAACAGAAGACCTCACAACTGTATACTCTAATCCCAGAAGGGAGGCAAGAAGAGGAGAAGGAGTCAGACATAGTACTTAAATCTGAGTGGTTGAGAATTATCAAATACATATGGTAAAGCTGTACAAAGATATTTAATATCACCTTTATTAACCAGGAAGAAAGGCCAGATTACCAATAAAGATCAAACAGTTATGGTAACTCCTAATTGCAGTAATAGAAGCCATAGGAAATTAAAATAATATACTCAGTGTACTAAGAGGAAAACAACTATATTTAATGAGACAATATTTTGAGATGAGCACAATAAAGTCATCTTCAGAAAAGTAAACTTGAGGGAGTTTGTTACTAAAGGATATAGTTTAGGCAAAAAGAAAATGTATCCTGGGAAGAAAATGTGAGGATCAGGAATGGTGAGTACATGTTGTGGGTCAGTCTAAACACAAACAATAACCCAACCTACAGCACGATGAGAACAGAATGAGTGTTTTACAAATGTCAAATATAATGAATAATGGAAATGTGGTAGCTATACACAATGGAATTTTATTCAGTTGTAAAGAAAAATGAAATGATAGAATTTGCAGGAAAATGGAAGTCTAGAAAATGTTATACTAAGTGAAATAACCCAGTCTCAAAAAAACAAACATAAGTGTTTGTCCCACTCAAATGTGGATCCTAATGTCAAATCTTTAGATTTGTGTGTTTAATTTGAAGTGTCAATGGAATCCAGAAAACTAGAAAGGGGCTATTGGTGGGCAGGAAGAAGAAGATCTTAAGGGAGGGGGTGTTCTACTTTGGTTTCTGTTTCTGTGATGAACACTGTAACCAAAAGCAATTTCAGAAGGAAGGTGTCTATTTTGGCTTACAATTGCAGCTCATCACTGAGGGAACCCAGGATGTGAACTCAAGGCAGGAACCTGGAAGCATAAAGTGAACAAGAAGTCACAGATTAGGGCTACTCACTGACATAGTCCCAGTGATTTGCTCATCCTGTTTTCTCATACCACCAAGAACCTCCTAACCATGGGTGGCAATGCCCCCAGGGGGCTGGACTCTGTTCTACAAACTTTCTTACAGGCCAATCTGATGGAAGCATTTTTTAATGGGGATTCCTCTTCCCAGATAACTTTAACTTGTGTCAAGTTGAAAAAAAAAAAAACTAACCAGGACAAGGTAATAATAGAATGCAAATGATATCAAGGGGGAAAGTAAAATAATGGGGAAGGAAGTTTATGTAGGTAGATAGATAGTAGAGTAGGGCAAAGGAGGAAGTGGTAGAGGATATTTGAAAATGATATAAGAAAACCTATTTTGTATTTCTTACTACACACACACCATACATAGACATATATACATTAATTTATTTGCAATTACCCTACACAAGGAATAATGTTCCTCCAAGAAGCACAGGTTGCCACATAGAAAGCCCAGTCAGGACTATCCAAGAAGGTCCCAACACAATGCAGGCTGTGGCCACAGCTCTTGGTTGCCTACCAGAACTTGATCACAAGACCTTATTGGTGAAGACACTGAGTTAATAAGACATGGAGAAATCAAGTTGATGCTGACCGTGAAGCTTCCTTCCTGCCAGCTAGCTTTCACAGTATCAGGAGGTGCTATGTAGGCTGCTGTGGGGAGAAAGTCATCAACAGCACTATCCATCTGTAAACTACAATAATTAGTGTGACCGGATATAGCCATGGTGCAATAGTGGCACAAATGTTATGAGAGTAACCACTCTTTCCCCTTGGATTTAAGCCCACAGAAGGAATCAAATGTCTGGTACTATAACTGTCCAAGAACTCACTGTTGAGAAGCTTACAGGCCCCAAAGAAGAACTACTATTATTCTGCTAAGAGAACACCATATCAAACTGACCTCTAAATCTGAATCTTCATAACTATACATTAGTGCAGCTCTTAGACCACATCAAAGAAGCTTGTTTTCCCAGTGGATGGTAGCTATTGCAAAACTCACAAATATTCAAAATACAAAAGCAAAGTTTCAGTGGACTATTCAGCCACAAATGGGACATCTTCACCACATTCTCCCATGGTTCAGGGACTATCTTGGAAGAGGGGAC